AGTTGCGGGGTTCACCTCACATGCCTCAGATGTTCCCGTTAATGCTAACGACGTATCTGATACCACAAATAATCAACGCAGACCGGTTCAGGTTGCAGCAATTAAGGCTGTGCTTGCATCGCTTGAGGGAGTCTCAATTGGGCCCCCCGGCAAGGTGTGGGTTTTTCACATCGTTGCTTAATTTTGTTTATTCCTTAAAAAGTTCATTCTGATTGCTTCATGTTGTACTATAATTTCATTTTTTTGTGGTATTATGAATTTATATGCACCACTACGTCCTGGAGAAATGCACTTCGTGGTACGCATATGTACCTGTTCAGAGTCAGCGTGCTAAAAATTGTTTCGCTAGAATAAGATTATAGTTTTGTTTCCGTCTAGGGCAAGTTTAACGGTAGGGTAGATTAGGTCACAGCTGGGTTTCCGGGGTAGAGGAGTTCGTATGATACATTGCGGCAGCAGCACCTATTTTTAGCGCATTTTCTCATTTATGGAAAAAATGCACTATTGTGCTCGCCATGTCCGTCTGTCTGTCTGTCTGTCCGTCTGTCCGTGACCTCAAGTTTTCGTCGACGAGAAAATGCGCTCTCTGTCACTCACTGCAGTGAGTACTGAGTTATATTTTTGTGATCTCCAGCGAGCCTGTCGTCTGCCGCCGCTACTTCACCAGCATTCGACCCTTATGTCTAATTATCTTCCTTGTTCCGTGATTTATTTATTCCTTGGTTTGAGAGCCCTATTTTCTATCGTAAGGCTGAGTTCGCTCAAATCTATACATGATTATTATGTGCGGTGCTTTAGACTTCACTTATTTCATTTATTCTAATTTAACTTTAATTATTTAACTTTAAATAGATGCTGCTCAACTCATGCTCTATTTAAGAGTTTACGCCAAATCATTTCAACTTCAATCTTTCTTCAGCGAACCAATCTTCACCTTTTCTTACTTTATCCATCCATTTGAAGCATCCACCTTCTGCAGATTTCTTATTTTTTTCATCAATTGCAATTCTTCCCAAAAGTGCGTTAGCACCCTGAGTGACAATTTAATCTCGGGTGAATGGATTTAGTATACGATAACCTAATTTAAATTTACTGTTTTAAATACTTGATGATTTTTACCTTGCTTGATGTAATCCACTGATTCAAATTAACCCATTTTCCTCAGTAAGAACCGCAAACCCATGGCGACGTATATAGCCGCTTCGACTTGCCAGTTTCCGCTGTAATTTCCCCTTGATGCGGTTCCAGCCCTTTATTCTCGCTTGGCTTTTACTTTTGGCGAAACGATTCCGGCCTGGCTCCAAGAATACAAGCATTCAAGATTTCTAGTTTAAATTCAGTCCACTCTTCGCTCCAATAAATTTTTTCGACGTTAGACAAGTGAGCAGCGTGCGTTTGCTGTCGAGGCGTGCATTTCTATTGACCGTTTTGCAGTAGTCTCCCTCCGAGACAACATTTTGGAAAGCGCCTTATCCCCTTGAGTGGCGACCTTATTTTGCCGGCCTCATCCCCCGACTTGGCTCCGTGTTATCTTTTTTTATGGGGTTATCTCAAATCAATTGTTTATAATGACTATCCTAAATCAGTTACAACAAGATCCCTGTTCCTGAAGTCTGTTAAAACAACGTCCTTGTTCCGGTAATTATCAAAAGTTCAAAATACTCGCCCGAATTAAAGAATTGGAGTTATTTTATAATAATAAACTCTTAATAATGTACGTTTAAAAATTACTTTTTAAAGACAACACTTCTAAAGCATCCGGTGTCTCCAATGTTACACATGTACAATGAATTTCTAATTTTATTTTCGGAAATTAAAAAAAATAATTTTTCAATTTTTTAACTATATAAAAAAATTCAAAAATATTTATTTTTTTAATTGGTTTATGAATTGTCTCAAACTTTACGCAAATGTTCAAAATTTCAGATCGATTGGACAGGTAGAAGTGTGTTAAATATCGATTATAAAATTTGTAGCAGAAAAAATTATTTTTTCATTTTTTAATATTGAAAAAAAATATATTTTCTCTTTTTAAAATTATTTATTTTATCAATCGATTCATGCATTGTCTCCGATTTTACGCAAGTTTGCAAAATTTCAGATCGATTGGAGAGGTAGAAGTGTATTAAATATCGATTATAAGCTTTGTAGCAGGTAGTACATTAGGTAGTACATTAAACTGACAATGCAAAGCGCGCACACAATTGTTATCTCTGAAACACAACCTCGGCCAGGAAATACATCAGCTGGCTCAGCGACACTCACCGGCCCCTGTGCCCTATCCACTCATGCCTGGGTTGAGTACCGTGCGTAATGACCCAGTGCGTAGCAGCCCGAGTGTTTCTGACACTCAATTACGCGTTGATTTCACCGGGACCAATCACTTACAGTGTCAAGACGTCCGGACCTGCCATTTTGAAGCTGGTATGTAATGCAGTTTCTCCTGCGGCGGTGATCTGAACTTCTCATGTATGGATCTGTAATTGGATAAAACAATGAACTTCAGAAATCAGCACGAATTTGAATCTTAATATCTTAAATTTTAAGCATATAAATACAATATCTTGAAACTCGGCAGTAGGTCATCGCTTGAATTTAACAGAACGTAGCGAATATAAATTTTCCTTAGTAATAATAAATTTAAACTAGTTTTCTGATTATCTTACACGCTTTACAATTTTGTCAAAAGACAAAGAAAGTCATTCTTAAACAGCAAGAAAATTAGGGAGGCGCTTTTGTACATCGGTATTAGCTGAAGAAAAACTTTATAAAATTATTTTTTATAAGTAACGGGCTTTTGTTTCTTAGGTAAACGTGAAGGAAATAAAATTCTTCAATTATTTTCAAACTTTACGGTCATTGCTTGGGGGCTTGAGTGCAAGTATATATTCAATGCATGAAATACACATCATGAAACATGGTACAAATAATTTAACATCGATACAATGGTCCCAAAGTGGCATGAGCAATTCTTACCAGCGTAGTGAAACGTACGAGGTAAGTTGCGATACGTAACTCTCCATGACTCGTAGTTTTTATAGGACATTTATTTCTCATCAACCAGAGTACGCGAAAAACATCATCATAAAACATTGAACATATGTATATATATAATCTACAATGAGTCTATAGTTCTGCTGCAATATATTTATATGGTTTTTATGGTTTTTAATTTTATATTTTAGAACCAAATTATTTTCTGAATAAAATTATATGGTTCCATTTCACTGCCGATTTTGAATGGAGAATGAAACAAAATCAAACAAATTAAAAAAATTGTTTAGAATATTGTTCCTCACACAAAATAAACAACACGTCAAAGCAGGACTCGTAGACAATATTATTGGGCTTAATTCGTTAATTTTACAGAGATGCATTTTGCCATCGACTTTCTAATTCTACTTAAAGTCTCGATTATTTAATTCCAGAATTAACTAAAACATTTCTAGAACTATTGTTGTTTCTTCCATTTCAATAAAAAAAACATGGCGGAAAGACAATCGAGTTTGTTTTACGCATTCCAGTCCATTTTTGTATCATGGCTGTTGACTCTCGCTTTCAGCACATGAGACGTTATTGGTGTTGGGCGCCTTATGTTGTTGTTATAAGCCTGGAGGCGCCGCTGAGATCCTGGCAAGTGTTTGCTCCCATGGTAGAACAACTAGACATCCAGGTGAGCTCTGTAGCTCCCACCAGCCTTTTGTGATCATTTGCTCTGCGGCACAGTTATGTCTCGCGCAGGTCATGCTTAATAAATTCTTCTCGCACCTTAGGCCTGATTCCGCGCCTCATGGCTTCATTGTCAAACAGAGGTCCACTAAAGCTTCCACACCGCCATAAAAGATTGTTATTTATCGTTGTTATTTCTCCTCGCTGATTAGCTGCTAACTTTAACAGCTTTTCACTTTTCATCAACCGTAATAATTTTCATTCAAAAAGCACACCGTTTCAATAGGCAGACCCATGCCTTCCTGAAATATTCTATTTATAGATAAATTGAAAATATTACTAACTGGTACACCTCATCACGATTCATTTATCTCCACGATAACCATCAAAGTATATGCAGAAGCTAACAAAACTTAAAATTGGATTATTCATTTTCATTAGTGTAACCGCTGTCTTGCAGTCTAATATGGTTACGTACCATTCTAGTAATGGTCTCCACGTTTACTGACTTTGTAATTCACACAAGGGCATGAAACTCCGGACATTTAACACAGAACAATTTTAATTACAGCAAAATTCAGCAAAGATTAGCCAAACGGGCTTCAAGTTAATGTCACAGGCCTAATGCCACAGGTTGAAATTATTTGCATTTTCGCCTGCGAAGGGATTAAGAGCTATTACATACAGTAATAAATCCTACAACCATTCAAATCTGATAAATAGCAATATGAAAAATATTCAGCATCTCCGCACCATGCATACCGTATGGTCAGCGTCGGGAGCAAAGTGACACGTGGAGAAAGAGTGACGCTGAAAACTACTCATGGTAAACAAATGCTATACGAGATGCGTCAAACTGCGGCTACAATTAATTTTCGGTTTTAATCAAGGGCACAATTAATGGACGACAATAACGGTTGGCCGACTTGGTCGACACATTTTACTGGCCAATTAATATAATTTAAACTTTATAATTTTATATTTCATAGTCGTGATCACAAGATATTTGTTTTGTTTACAAGATATTCGGTCATGATTTTTTTAGGCAAATATTCGCTCCCGAGAGCAGTGTGGTGGGGATCACGTGAGTCAGGATTTTGCTGAGGACACTCCGATGAACTTTGACACGTCGACTACTTGCCAAGATGACAGAAAAACATTTGCTTCATTATTGATTTCGAAGTCAATATCGAGTCAAGAAATGACTCGAATGATCCTTCAATAACTGTCTACTTACGATGCAAAACACATTCGATTCGGACACTAAACAATATTGCGAACAAATTTCTTCGAATCCATCAAGAAAAATATTACATTTTAACTATCACTCATCATCCTGCAAGGAATCACACAAGTCGCGTTTATAGGAAAATAATACAGATTGCTGAATCACATTAGGCAAATGTTTTTGCATTAATTTCAAGCTTGTAGTAACTGCAGGTGCCCATCGTACCCCGCAATGCCAAGCTCTAGGTACGCACACTCCACGACGTCGAGCTCTAGGTGGTCTTACCTATCAACGCCCCTTCAAGATAGTTCATCGCAGTCGAAACTATGACAAGCGCCTCGCTCATGATCAATGGCGCCTTTCGAATTCAGGCCAAAATTTGATTTCTCCACTTTTTGAATTTTCCAAGAGTTTAATTTTTTTCAAACACGCGAGTTGTAGGAATAACAACTAATTACACACAAACTACAGTTTCAGCACGATGGACTGAATAATCTACACATTATTTTATCTGCGAAAGTTTTGGCATTTTTCTTCGCCGTGGTAGATCAACTTATTCTAAAAGTTGTCGATGCTTTAGTAGAGTCAAATTCAATAATTTTCTGATGGATTATTACTATCTATCGCTTGTTTGATCCACGCTCACCGTTAATCCGATTACTCCTCTGAAGTCGCTTAGCGCCCGTGCAGTGTCCATACACTCCAATTTCCATTATCTATCACTCGCATGCAACATGTGGTGCTCTAGCATGCTACTGTAGCTAGCATGTAACATGTGGTGATCTAGCATGCTACTGTAGTCAGCATGTAACATGTGGTGCTCTAGCATGCTACTGTAGCTAGCATGTAACATGTGGTGATCTAGCATGCTACTGTAGCC